CTTTTTGTTTTCCTTCTTTTTCGTTTCCTTTCAATAATTCGTTTGATCTCCCTTGCTTGAGCGCTTTGCACACCCCGTTCAGTGTCGAAAATTTCTCCCACTGGATCAGGTAGTTCCACTGCTGCAAGTTCGGCGAGCTTCGCCTGACGTCCCTGAAAACTAAGCAAAATGATTGAATGCAACTGTATGCGCAGCTCCCTGTCAGCGATATTCCTTGCATTCGCGATTTTCAAGAACACTGAGCTTTTCAAGATATTAAAAATCACGTCAATCTGCTTGTGAACCTGTAGCTCACCATCTCAGCCTGCTTCTTCAGTATATATTTATTCGAGTGTTTCTTCTTGATTTCCCTTCGAATTGTATTTGGACTGACATAATCGGGGTTGTCATACAGCACCGATCCTTCAAACGAGCCATCAAAGACACGAATTACCTCGAGTACCAGACGAGGTCCTGAAATTGCGCACAAACACTACACAGTTTCATCCGCTAGCAGTCGATGAAAACAGTTTTGCTAAATAATTTCCGCCTTGTAACGAACCAATTTCCTGAAGCTCCAGTGTTTCATCAACGATTTGAAAGTTCCGAAACCATATCTTCCCGTCCGGTGTTAATGAAAATGTGAAGACATGATCGATGAATGGTTTGCTTCTAGGATGATGGTCTGGCGTGCTGAATGTCTGCAAAAATTCACAACTCTCTGGGCAAATTATAATGCCTTGAGATAGTGGATATTCATGGAAGAAAAAGGTCGAATCCTATTGCTCTTAGTAGAAACACTAGAATACCGTGTGCAGAGCCTGTAGGAATTTGACGCGAAGAATTGAAATTTAAGTGGAGGGAAGGGCAGGAGGAAAAAGGAAGAGTGGGGGATAATATACCAAAGAAAAAATAATAGCTGGCCAGAGCAACGACTACCGGTGCGAAAATGCGTTTTCTGCACAGCTCCTCGCAGGTTTTTGCCGCTAACGGCACTGTGTTCCGGCAGATGCTTCTAGCTAAAAGAATTGAGAATGGCCATGACGACTGTCAGAAAACACTCTTTTAAAATTTTTCAGCTTTCTGATTCCTGAGTCAGCAACACACCTGGCAAAAATTTTCACGGGCCTGTAAGTGGGAACCACGTGGAAAGAGCGTCCACTCTGGAGACAGGGCAAATGCATGTAGATTAAGATCCCAAAGTTATAGCTTTGTAACTCTTGTAGACCTCACGAAGGAAAGTCGGTGCAGGCGAAAACACAAATACACACACAGACAACTCCTCGACAAATGCGTTTTTGCATTGCACAGATGCAAAAAAACCCATAAAAAGTGCAGTAAAATGCAAAGAAGCGAGGGAAAGGAAAACAGGTTGTGTTCACGGCAGTCCTTTCTCTTTTTTCCGGAATGTGGGTGGGTAAATGGCTTAAAAAGTGAGCACGGCAGATCCAAATATTTATAAATTCGACAGTGTCTAGCGAGGCACAAATTAAAACCTCAAGAAAAAGTTGTTTGATGAGTGCAAGATGTGGCTGCGAATCGAATGCGCCATCAAAAGAAAGCACCGGTCGCGAGCCTTTCAAGCAATTACCGGACATTCTCAGTTCGTCCATTGTGTGCACATTATGCACTAAAAATTTCACTGATGGCCCATCAGTTATATTCGAAATCCATAAGTAGACATCCTGCAAACGTCAACATTTTTTAGTAATTGTTTAAAGGTATTATAATAAAAGTTAACGAAACAGCATCAAATTGTAGCTAATCAGCCGAGCAAAGATGTCTTGGTTTTTGAAATCGTATACATTCCTGATGAGCATCACAATTGAACCTCCGTTTTCTTTGCAAAAGCAGCAGGCAAAAAATAGGGATTCTAGTGGATTCCAGGATTATCAACAGGCGATCACTGGAAAATAAGAGAAATTTTAAAAGGAGATTATACAGCCGTCAATCCTGCGCTGCCCAGAAAAGAACGAAGAAATAAGAGACCTAAAAGTTGCGCTTGTCCTATGTCTGCAAGGTCTGGTTACTCACAATATCGTTCTTTATCTGTACAGCTAGCAAGTTTCTTGGCCGCATTATTCCCTGTATCGTTAAGTGGTCAGTCCGCTAAGAGTGCTGATTTCCAGTTCGTCAATTACAGAAATGATCAGCTGATCAGGGACTTTTTCGACAGATTTTTGAATTTGGCCAGGCTTCGAGATATCCATGATGTGTGGGATGTGCATCACCATCTCGGGGGCTCTTTGATCACGATGACGAGGTAAACAAGAACAAGAAGCAAGTTTATAGCACAACAACAAGTTTTTGCTTGTACTCTTACGATTTGCCAGGCTTACTAGTTGCCAGGCTTACTAGCTGGAACTCACAGTATGCTTTCTGTTTTCGAAGTACAAGCATTTGCTGCAGTTCGCAATTTCGGCGATCTCATTGATCAGCACCAGACTCATCCGCTTATCCAATTTGTTATCGGATTTGCTGTGAGGCATCAAATTACGAAAATCTTGCATCAAATGTCGCGTACGATACGATGCGCCACGTGAGCAGAAGATGAGAATGCGCTCGCGATTCGTCCACTTCGATTTCGCCTGCAATTTCACCGCATTACTCGAAGTTGATACAGCAAACCGAAGAACTGGATACACAGAGAATTCTTTCAAGAAGATAAAATAAACATCAATGCGCACCAGACTAGCCGGTGCGATCATGCGTTTTGTGCAGTTCAGCCTATCGAACGATTGACTATTAATGATTTTCACTGCTTTGTACTTTTGTCTATGCAAAAATAGTTCAAA